GAGTTCTTTTTCTCCCTCTGGTGGCTAGGGGTGGCCTAGCAGGAGGCTGAGAGGTTACAGATGTGGTGTTGGTGTGTTAGTGTGTGTTGTGCTGGTGCAATGTTTTCCAAACTTTCTTAATCCTTTATAATTACACATTTTTATAACTGTCACATGAAAACAGTTTTGAATGGCTGTTTTGTTCTTTTCTCAAAAATCAGCCTCAGCTAAGAGTACAGTATTAACACTTCTTATCACTTCAGCTGGAGTGCGCAAGGCTAAACTGCCAAAGGCTGAATGGTCACCTAATCCAGGTCAGTAGTTTCACTTGTTTCTTTTTCATAGGAAAAGTGTGAAAAAGTCCATCATCCATGTGTGGTTTGTAGGTGACCAGCAGGTCCAAACCTTTATTACACACTTCTATAAACCTAAGAATAACTCAGGCAGTTTATACTGTAGATTATGTAGTTACTGATCATCTATCATCATTTGTTATCACACAACCTCACAGTTGATCCAACCCAGAATCCAGCGTAGAGAGGCTGAGTGAATGTGGAGTGGACTGTATGTAGGAGGGTCATTGTGTCAGAGACACTGTAGAAGGACAGACTTCCTAAACTATGATCCACATAAACTCCTATTCTGGAGGATGGACGTCCTGGGAGCTCGGTCTCAATGCTGTTGTGCTGTTGAAAGTGAGAGACAAAGAACACCACAGACTCCAGGACTGAGCATTGAGTCCAAACACACATTCATTACCTTCTCTTTTTCTCCTGATCTCTTTATATGAGACTGATATGTACGCAGTTCCACTCCACTCAACCTCCCAGTAACAGCGTCCAGTCAGACTCTCCACACTCAACACCTGAGACCAAACGTCAAATCTCTCTGGATGATCAGAGTAACTCTGGACTTCATTACTCAACTTCACCACTCTGCTTTTCTCAGACAGAATGAGGTAATGATACGCTGTGTTAGGATCCAGAGTCAGCTGACAGAAATCTAAATTAAATCACAATAAAATAAAGAATATAATCATTTTATATTTGTGTTCACAGAATGTTCTTATTTTACAAACCCCATTCTGAAAAAATTGGTACATTTTGTAAAGTGCAATAAAAACAAGAATCTGTGATTTGTTAATTCTCTTGAGCCTTCATTTAATTGAAAACTTAATGTTTTGGGTGAACCACTCGATTGTATTTTGTAAATATATTTTATTAACAAATTTTAAATTTGTTTTTAAATTTCAATGCCTATTGGTACAGGAGCAAGAGTGAAAAGTTTGTAAAATGTTCAATCCACAATAAGCAGGTGAATAGGTAACAGCTGAGTGTATGAAATGAGCATCAAAAAAAAAGACTCACCACTTTGTGCCAAACTTTGTGAGTGAAGAGTCAAACATTTAAAAAAGAACATTTCTCAATGTAAGATTTAAAAAAAAAACTTACATTTTTTACCACCTACCATACATAATATTGTGAAAAGACAGACGTTTAGGTCAAGGCCAGAAACCACAGTTGAATGTGCGAGCCCTCAGATTGCATAAGAAACCGTCATGCTACTATGTTAAATATAGCTACATGGGATCACGAGGATTCGTAAAAGCGTTGTCACTTAAGACAGTCCACCGCTGCATCAAGAAATGCAAGCTGAAGCTCTATTATGCAAGGAGAAAGCCATACATCAACTCTATGCAGAAACACCGCTGAGTTCTCTGGGCCCAAGCTCATCTCAGATGGTCTGAGCTGTGGTCAAATGAGTCCACATTTCTTGAGCAAAATGGACGTGGAGTTCTCAGTGTTGAAAAGGACCATCCAGATTTTTATCAGCCAAAGGAGCAACTGCCAAAATCAGTCATTGTATGGGGGTGCATCAGTGCCCAAAGCATGGGTGACCTGCATATATGTGAAGGTACCATTGACGTGTAAACGTACATTAGGATTTTAGAGAGACATATGCTGCCATCAAAATGACATCTTTTCCTGGGACGTCCATGGTTATTTCACCAAAACAAAGCCAGGCCTCATTCTGCACATGCTACAACAGAGAGACTTCATAGAGACAGAGTGTGTGAGCTTGACAGGCCTTCCTGCAGTCCAGATCTGACTCCTATTGAATTTGTATGGTGCATCGTGAAGAGGAGAATCAGACAAAGAGCACCACTGACTGCTGAACAGCTGAAGTCTTATATTGAGCAAGAATGGGCAAAAATTCTACTTACAAAACTGCAACAATTAGTATCTCCAGTTCCCAAACAGTAAGGTGAAATGTTGATGTAACAACATGGTAAATATGTCTCTGTCCTACATTTTTTGAGTGTGCTGCAGATATTAAATTCTAAATTTGTTTATATTTACAAAATACAAAACAGTTAGTCAGTGAAATCACTGAACATTTTTTTATTTGTACTTTTGTCATTTAAATAAAGGTTCAAGTGAATTAACAAATTGTAGTGTCTTGTTTTTATTTCACTGAATTTTTGAACAATCCCAACTTTTCTAGAAATGGGGTTTATCATAAAAAAACTTATTTGTTGTTGTGTTTGTTTCCAACTTGAAACGTCTCTACAGTGAGAATTTCAGACGCTGCCTAAAGGCTCAACTTACACTGTAGAAAATCTTCTCTGCTCTTTGGTTCTGAGAGTGATAAAGGAGCTGCTGCAGCTGTGGAGACACAAGAACACACAGGACCACATCAATAGAATAGAATAGAATAGAATAGAATAGAATAGAAGAGCCAGCAGGAAGCTCCTCTTACCCTGTGGAGGGATTTTCCTGAACTCCTCTCTGCAGAACTCCTCTAGTCTCTCCTTCAGATCAGAGCGAGAGTTCCTCACTCCATCAAATTAGAGATGGTGATGGACAGAGATGCTGGAGGAGTCCTCAGATCCAGAAGAGACGCTCAGAGACTGGAAACTCTACACAGAGAAAAACAGAATGGAGAAAAAGAGAAATGAAGCAGCTCAGACTAGTCTTGTAGAGCTCGAATCAGGTCTCAGTCTTGAGACCATAAACTAGCCAGCTGTCTCATCTTGGTCTCGATCTCATGTGGACTTGGTCTCGTCTCGGTCTCAGGGTTAAGGACTTGGATATTATTGTTGAGATCAGCTTAGTATGATGCCTCCATCTGAGGTAACTGGAAACTGAATTGAATACCAACAAACCCAGAAAAAACTGTATAAATCAGTGCTTTCTCTGAATCAGGGGTTCACAAACTTTTGAAATTCATGACCCACACAAACGACCACAAAAGCTTCCACTGAAATAATCAATGTTTCTGACTCACTGAATGAGAATTGAGCTGATTTGGTAGCTACCAAGGGCTGGATGTCTGGATGAAGACCAAGCAAAACAGACTAGAATCACCATGAAAAAGATACTTTAGATACAATCTCTGGAAAACACACAGGGCGAAGATTAGCTAGTTTGGTTTACCGGATCCATATAACCTGTACACCTCCAGAGTTAAAAATGCATGAGGTTTTACAAAAGTGAATAAAGTTTACTGCCAAAACTGTCACAGCTCTTAAATGATAACCCATACATATTTAAAGCTGAAGGTGGCTTCTCATTGGAACGTTCTGTTTCACCTACCTTAAATGGTGCTGCAGTTACACTTAGGTGTATGATGGTGAATGCCATGCCAACATCAGTTTACCTCAAAAAATGTGTCAATAAATGTCTCAATAAACGCATTAATATACCTCCGTAAGTGTATTAATATACCTGAGTAAATGCCTTACACTTTATTTTGGTAAAGAGCAGCTGACGAGCATCACAGCAGAGCTATATTCAGCAACTGTACCTGCTGGACTGTTGAACTCATCTCACTGGCTGATCTAGCGCTACACATTTGATTACTCAGGTCTGCACTGTAGCTATGAAGCTAATGTAGCTAAGCAGTGGAGTAAAAGTAGAAATATTCTGCTTCCTTCAAAAGACTCAATCAATCAGTACTTGAGACTATTAAAAAGTATCCGCTCTCAAAAATAAACTCGCAGGAGCCTTAAATCCTGTACAGCTAAGATTCAGACTTCATCTTCTCTTCATTTAGCACCAATGCTACATTTCCACAATGTCTTCTGCTACAAATCCAGGAAAATGCTGAAGGAATTAATGTTGTATAATGCACGTAGTGAACAGCTATACTAGGCTAAGTCAAACATAGCTTGTGTTCCCTCATTTAAAGAATACAGCTAAACTAAAATATTGTCTAGATAAACTTTATCTCATCACTTATGAGGGGCAGAAAACAAGATTTTTGCCTTTTACTGCTGAACCTCAATCAGGACCCATGACTGTATGACTCACTGTGATCTATAAAAATGGTACAGAAACACAGACGAAAGTGAGACTCCTGGACGGCTGCTACTGCTTTCAGCTATGCTAACACACTTTTACGTGCTAACTGGTAGAGTACAGTATCAGCTTGTTAGCTACATTAGCCTCATAGATCCAGTGCTGAGCCTTCAGAGCCCAAACGTGTCTTGTGTGCTGGACTCCATTTGGTGTAATGGGAGGAGAAAGTGTGTGAATTTAATCCCAGAGTGTCCAACACTGAGCTCCTCACTGTCTGACTGGAGGAGAACCTGACTGAGCTCTGAAATATCCAATCTCTGCTCAGTCCTCACCTTAAGGGTGTTCACAGCCTGTTCCAGCTCCTGCAGCTTCTTCTGTTTCTCCTGGATCCTCTGCTGGACTTCTCTCTGCATCTCCTCCAGCTCCCTCTGTCAACAAACACACTGTATGACTGGGAATCATCACTGACTAATACAACGCAAAGCCGTAAAACTCACTGCACTATGAGGCTGAAGATGGTGTTGGCTGGTAAAACATTCACATACAGGCTGATCCAACTGGTTTTACTAGAAGAGTCAGAAAGAATTTTTTAACACACCTCACCCCCAGCACTTTCACCACATTCTTTACACACAAACCCCATTAAACTCAAGAATTGAGACAGTTTAAATCCTTCAGCAGTTTAGCTTCATTTAGATCCAGAAGGTCTGTAGTTCTCACCTGTTTCTGGGTTCTCTCTGCTGCAGCTGAGACTGTATCGTGGCCTTTGTGGTCATCCATTGTACACAAATAGCAGATGCAGCTTCGGTCAGTGCGACAGTAGATCTCCATCAGTTTGTCGTGTTGAGAGCAGATCTTCTCTTGTAGTCGTGTGGACGCTTTGACCAGCTTGTGCTTTTTCAGACCAAGAACTTTATAGTGAGGTTTAAGATGACCTTCACAAAAGGAGACCAGACATGTCAGACAGGATTTTACAGCTTTGAGTTTCCTCCCAGTGCAGAAATCACACTCCACATCTCCAGATCCAGCAGGAGGAGCAGCTCGGACTTCTGTCTTCAGTTTCTCCAACATTTCAGCTATAAAGTAGCTTCTGCGTAGAGCAGACCTCGTAGTGGAGGTCTCTCTGCACTAGGGGCAGCTGTAGACCCCCCTCTGATCCTCATCCTTGAAACTAAACAAATTCTAAGATAAGTTCAGACATACATGTATTAAAGAGCTACATCAATTCCTATGAAATAATGGATCAGTTAGTCTAGATTAGGTTGTATATGATACTTTTCTGAGAACATGTTTACATTGTGTACAAAGACAGTCATTCATTCTACAGAGCAGAGAAGGAGAACCAATATGTGTGTGTGTGTATATATATATATATGGCGGCTGAGTGGCTTCACTTCACTGTGTATATTGTGATGTCATCAGCAATCTGGTTCTTTATACATATCTATGGTCCTGACTAGGTAGGTTTGGAACTTTGTAGATCAAAGTAAAAGAATGCCTGGGTCGCCATGGAGCTCCATTATGACATCACAGTAGAACTCTGATGACATCATTCTAGAACAGAGCTGGTCTATATAAACCCAACACTTAGCAGTATCAGTTCATTCCTGATTAATCACTCTGAAGATCAGGTTGATGATTTATGTAGGATCACGTTTCCTGTAAAAGAGAAAAGCAGTAGAGCAGCAGAGACTGGACGTTTCACACTTTATCAGATGGAGATACAGTGAGGAGTAACATATGTATGAACTGCTGATGATTTGTTTGTTTACTGCGTCTCCTTTAATGCAGGCGTGATTTCTGTGTTTGTTGTGTTTGATATTTGAGGGTTTTGGTCCTGTGGCAGATCAGAATCATCTGTTCATCAATAAAGTCCATCAATAAAAACACTGGACCGGTCAGAATTCCCTGTGTCCATTCTCTACACTCTGTAAATATTTTATAACCTTCAGTCTGAGACATTCATTCACTCTGAGTCTCCACAGGTCAACTTTCAGAGAAACATCACACAGTCCATAAATAAATAAAGATCACCATTGTTGAGGGTTTGTTTTGGTTATTTTCACGGTATTGACAGTAATATAGTGTTTTATAAAGACCTCGACCTTCTGAACTCCTGTTGAACACAGACAACATTTATTAAGAAATAGCAGCTAACAAGTAATGGAGGCTTATGTACACCAGTTAGCATGGAGCTAAGTGCATGTGTAGATCATCAGGTGTCAGGAAAACACAAAAGACCAGATCAGAGCCACAGATCACTGTCACATCCTGCACTCGGCACCTTCCCTGTATATAATAATAATGTAAGACATGCACATGAATCTGATTCCTATGCAAGAGCCGTCCATGCATGAATAAGACTGCACTGTACATTATATTGTATAACATACGGACATGATTGTGTTGAATGTTGTAATCTAATAGATACATCTAATATATGTGAATGTAGCTCCTCTGCTCTTTTGCTTTACCACAGTGTCTCAAATGACCTTAACTAGCAGTAACAAAAGCAGTAACTATGAAAGAACTGTGTATTAGGCGCTCCATGTAATGGGTCTCCATGGCTGAGCTGCTGTACACAAGCCTAAGATCACTATGCGCAAAGCTAAGTGTCAGCTGGAGTGGTGTAAAGCACCACCACTGGACCCTGGATCAGTGGAAACGCGGGGTTGAGGTCAGGGCTCTGTGAGGCCACTGGAGTTCCTCCGCACCAAACTGGTCACTCCATGTCTTTATGGAGCTGCTTTGTGCTCAGGGGCTCAGTCATGCTGGAACAGGAAAGGCTCTTCCCCAAACTGCTGACACAAAGCTGGAAGCAGATAACTGTGTAAAATGTCTTTGTGCTGCAGCATCAACATCACCCATCACTGGAACTGAGAGCCCAAACGAACGGAGGAACGGAGATTACGATCCAGGCTCTCTCGTCCAGCTTCAGTGTCCGACCTCACAAATGTCTTTTAACCTGAATGGACACAAATTCCCACAGACTCACTCCAACATCTTGTAGAAAGAGTGGAAGCTCTTAGAGCAGTAAAGAGGGAAAATCCATATTAATGGTTTTGGAATGGGATGTCCAAAAAGCTCATATAGGTGTGATTGTGAGGTGTCCACATACTTCTAGCCAAGTAGTGTAACCTGTCTGTTTTTGTGCTTCTCACTCAACACTAAACCTGCTGCTGAAAGAATCTGGTTCTGTTGCTCGTTCCTCACCTGCTGTTACTACAAACCAAACAGTTCTCAGGTTCCACACTAAGAAACACACTTCATTACACACAGCTAACAGGAGCCGACTGAGCGTGAAGATCTCCAGGTGAGGAGAAAGTCACCGAGCATGCTTGGCTCTGATACTCAGCTGGTCCTGAAGGTCTTCATTACCTGGATCAGGTGTGTTAGATTAGGGCTGGAGATGAACTCTGCAGGGTGGGAGATCTTCAGGACCATGACTGGGCGTCTCCTGATCTAGTACATCACCACTAACTGCTCCAGAGTGGGACACTAGAACGGTGTGTTGATGTGTTGATCTTTATTTGTAGAAATGGTCACTGTGATGGCAGCACCAGCAGAACCGATACGTTCCTGAGATCCAGGAGAGAAATGATGAGGCAGGACGACAGGAGTTCTCTGCAGGTGTTTATTAGACATTCTTTTACAAACAAATAAAAACAGTTTCAGATCAAAGCTAATAAAACAATAAGAATCATCGGTCAGTGGGGGAAATGTGTGTCCAGCGCTAACATCAGCTCTCTAACTAAAGATGTGTGATGGGGCCATTAGCCAGCGACCCTCAGCGAGGCTTAGTTTCCTCATTTCAATCAGAAACTTACATCTTGACAAAACGTTCATCTTAATGAAAACCCTCTCCTCACACTGCCCCCTGCTGGTGCTGAATAAGAACAGCAAGCAGATTCTCTAAGATAGAGTTTCTCTGCAGCTCATTTCTGAATAAACATTATCATGAGGATGATAAATGTATGATTATAATCTCCCAGATAAAACACAACCTGCACCACATTTCAGAGAAGAAAAATACACTATATATGAAAAATGACAATATTCACAAAGACAAATGTGAGCACAGCATTGTGGGAGTCACGTTCACACTGAGGAGCTGCTTCACTAAAACACTGAGTGTAATGACTTTAACCCTTGAAGACTCTCTACTGAAGACTTTAACCTCAAATAGCTTTAACAGCTACACTGCTATTCTCAGTGTAATGAGCTCATGATGGTTGTCATGGTGACTGTATAGTAACATCAGCTTTATGTTACCTTAGCAGATCAAGTTTAAAGGTGTAATCAAGCCGTGAGGTTTGTACAAATTTATGACTCAACAAATTTATCTTAAACAGCCAATATTCTATATTTGTACTATATTTGATTTTTATGTTGACATATAATTAATCATACTTAGTAACAATTTTCAAACCTCTCTTACAAATAAATTTTTGTTACTGTGCCTTGAAGACTGATACATGTAAATGAGCTCTGTTCTGATTGACTGTCCTGGTGCCTCGTTCAAAAAAGTTCTGAAAGTGCAGTAACAACACTTCTTAACATTTCAGCAGGAGTGGGCGGGGCTAAACTGCTGAAGGCTGAATGGTCACCTAATCCAGGTCAGTAGTTTCAGTGGTTTCTTGTTCATTAGAAAAGTGTGAAAAAGTCCATCATCCATGTGTGGATTGTAGGTGACCAGCAGCTCCGAACCTTTATTACACACTTCTATAACCTAAGAATAACTCAGTCAGTTATCACTGTAGTTCATGTAGTTAATGAATAATAATAAGCTTTAGAATGTAATAAGCCTGCGATTATTAGAGGATAATCACTATTAATAGACTCTGATCAGATATAATTAGGAGAGGAAAAAGAGATGATAAGAGCAGAAACTCAGTCAAACAGGCCACACAGCCCACGAGTCACGATCACCACCATCATTTTTATCACACAACCTCGCAGTTGATCCATCACCAACCCAGAACCCAGCATAGAGAGGCTGAGTGAATGTGGAGTGGACTGTATGTAGGAGGGTCATTGTGTCAGAGACGCTGTAGAAGGACAGAATTCCTGCACTGTGATCCACATAAACTCCTATTCTGGAGGATGGACGTTCTGGGAGATCAGTCTGAATGTTGTTGTGGAAGAAATAGAGAGAAGAATAAGACCAAAAAGAAAAAGGAGAACAGCACAGACTCCAGGAATGATTGTTACGTCCAAACAAACACTCATCACCCCGTCCTTTCCTCCTGATCTCTTTATATGAGACTGATATGTTCACAGTTCCACTCCACTCAACCTCCCAGTAACAGCGTCCACTCAGACTCTCCACACTCAACACCTGAGACCTGTCAAATTTCTCTGGATGATCAGAGTAACTCTGGCCGTCATTACTCCTCTCCACCACTCTGTTCTCCTCAGACAGACTGAGGTAACGATTCGCTGTGTTAGGATCCAGAGTCAGCTGACAGAAATCTAAATAAAATCACAATAAAATACAGAAAATAATCAGTTTATGTTTGTGTTCACAGAAAGTTCTTATCTGAAGAAAAACGTTGTTTGTTGTTGTGTTTGTTTCCAACTTTAACGTCTCTACAGTGAGAATTTCAGACGCTGCCTAAAGGCTCAACTTACACTGTAGAAAATCTTCTCTGCTGTTTGGTTCTGAGAGTAGTAATGGAGCTGCTGCAGCTGTGGAGACACAAAAAGACACAGGATCACATCAATAGAATAGAATAGAATAGAACAGAAGAGCCAGCAGGAAGCTCCTCTTACCCTGTGGAGGGATTTTCCTGAACTCCTCTCTGCAGAACTCCTCTAGTCTCTCCTTCAGATCAGAGAGAGCGCTCCTCACTCCATCAAATGAGAGATGGTGATGGACAGAGATGCTGGAGGAGTCCTCAGATCCAGAAGAGACGCTCAGAGACTGAAAACTCTACACAGAGGAAAAACAGAATGGAGAAAAAGAGGAATGAAGCAGATCAGACCAAATCAGACTAAAGATGAGCGAGTGATCAGACAGAGCTCTGTTTATTACTGTCTTCATGAACTTTAGCTGAGAGGAGTTTGATGAAGTTGATGATGAACAGGTTCCTCTGTAGATCAGTGATTGTTACCTGGAGGAAATGGATGTGATCCTCTGTGAGTGAAAGCTGCTCCAGCTCAGTGTTTCTCCTCTTTAGATCAGCGATCTCCTGCTCCAGTTTCTCCAGGTGTTCCTCAGCTGCACTCAGTTCAGCCTCCTCCTGAGCTCTGATCAGCTCTGTTAGCTCAGAGCGCTTTTTCTCAATGGAGCAGATCAGTTCAGTCCAGATCCTCTCAGTGTCCTCCACTGCTGTCTGAGCACAGCGCTGTTAGAGCACATACAGAGAGCACATATAGAGCTCCATTTAAAGGAACATCTCATGTCCAGCAGCTGAAAAACTTTAAATACATTTGACTTTAAGTCAACAACAGCAATAAAACACAGTGAAAATACAGCATAACATGACTGAACAAGAGCCACTTTACTCAGCTAACCACTCAGCACTTAGTAGTAGTAATACTATCCAATCAGCAGTCAGTAACAGCAATGCCAACCAATCAGCATACAGTACCAGTATTGCTAACCAATCAGCATGCAGTACCAGTATTGCTAACCAATCAGCATGCAATAGCTTCCTCCAAATACTTTAACACTTATTCAATGTACCCTAACACTTCCTCATCTAAGTAGCCTAACATTTACTCTTCTAAGTACCTAATACTTCCACTTAACACTTGCTTTTCTATGTACCCTAACAGCTCTTTAAGTACCCTAATACTTTCTCTAAATACCCCAAAACTTCCTCATCTAGTACCCTAACAAGTCCTCATCCACGTACCTTAACATTACTCCTTCAAGTACCCCAACACTTCCTCTAAGTACCCAAACACTTCTTCTAAGAGCCTTAACACTTCCTCCATGTACCCTAATACGTCCCCTAAGTACCTTAACACTTGCTCTTATATGTACCCTAACAGTTCTTTAAGTACTCTAACACTTTCTCCTAAGTACTCAAAAATACTTCCTCCTCTAAGTACACTAATACTTCCTCCTTCAATTACCCTAACATTTACTTTAAGCACCCTAAAACTTCCTCTTCTAAGTACCCTAAAATAATCTCTTCAATACCCTAACAATTTCTGTAAGTACCCTAACACTTCCTTCTAAGTACTTGAAAACACTTCCTCCTCCAAGTACCCCAACACTTTCCCCTCAAAGTACTTAAAAACACTTCCTCTTTTAAGTACCCTAACACTTCCTCTACATACCTGAAAATGTCTCTAAGAAGGTTCTTCATCAAGTACCTTATCACTTCTTCTTAGTACTCTAACACTTCCTCTGAGTACCATAACACTTCCTCCTTTAAGTAGCCTAACCTCTAAATACCCCAAACGTCCTCCTCTAAATACCCTAACTCTTCTTCTAAATACCAGAAACTTACCCTTACATGTCTTCTAAGTAGCCTAACACTTACTCTTTTAATTACCCTAACGATTTCTCTAAGTACCCTAACACTTCCTGTTAAGCAGTCGAAAACAATTTCTCCTCCAAGTACCCTAACATTTCCTCCAAATACTGAAAGTTTCCTCCTCTAAGTACCCTAACACTTTCTCTGAGTATCCTTACACTTCCCCCTGTAAGTAGCCTGACACTTCCTCTAAATACCCAATAATTCCCTCTTCTAAGTACTCAACATTTCCTCTAAATCCCCGAAAATTCCCTCCATTAGGTAGCCTAACATATCCTTTAAGTACCCTAACACTTACTCTTTTAAGTTCCCTAACAGTTTCCTCTAAGTACTCTAACGTTTCTTCCACTAAGTACCCTACAAATATACTTTTAAATTACCCTAACAGTTTCTCTAAGTACCCAAACACTTCTTCTGTGAGCCTTAACACTTACTCCAAGTACCCTAACATTTACTCCTCTAAGTATCCTAACACTTTTTCTAAGAACCTTAACACTTCCTGTAAATACTTTAACACTTCCTCCTCTAAGTACCATACTCCAGGTACCCTAATACTTCCCCCGAGTACCTTAACCCTTGCTCTTCTATGTACCTTAACAGCTCTTTAAGTAACTAACAATTTCTCTAAGTACCTGAAAACTTACTTAAAATACTTCCTCTTCAAAGTACACAAATACATGCTCCTCTGAGTACCCTAACATTTCCGCTTAGTACCCTAACAGTTCCTCTTCCAAGTTCCCTAAAATAATTCCTTTAATACTCTAACAATTTCTCATTCCTGCTAAGTACTCAAAAACACATCCTCCTCGAAGTACCCCAACACTTCCTCCTCAAAGTACCCTAACACTTCCTCCTCGAAGTACCCCAACACTTCTTCATCCAAGTACCCTAACACTTTCCCTAAGTACTCGAAAAACACTTCCTCCTCAAAGTACCCTAACACTTCCTCCTCCAAGTACCCCAACACTTCCTCCTCCAAGTACCCCAACACTTTCTCCTCCAAGTACCCCAACACTTCCTTCTCCATGTACCCTAACACTATCCCTAAGTACTCGAAAACACTTCATCTTCAAAGTACCCTAACCCTTCCTCCTCAAAGTACCCTAACACTTCCTCCTTGAAGTACCCTAACACTTTCTGTAAGTACTCGAAAATGCTTCCTCTGGAAAGGGCCCTAATACAATAATAACATTTCCTCTAAGTACCTAATCACTGCCAATAAGTACACTAACACTCTCTTCATGTAACATATACATATAGGATTTTTTCTATAGCTTATAACTTGGAAAATTGATTTGAAAGTCTTGCATGTCCTTATATGCAATATAGTTGTAGGGAGGCCCCATCAATATAGAAAAAACCTTGTATCTCCATTTTTTTGCATTATTAAGTCCAAGTACCCTTTTCATTTTGTTCATTTTGATAAGATTTCATGATGAACACATGAAAACAAATGGTCCAAAATTATCTGGAAAAAATCTTATTACATTAACTACCATTACAAAGTAGAAAAGTTACCAAGAAGAACCATGATTTTTTCCCTCTTTTGTACAGTTAACATTTCTGGAGATACAAGAATTTGTTCTGATATTGATGATAAACTACTTTATATTCAATCAGGTAAAATTTAACTTAACACAATAACAATACTATATGGTCATGAAATTATAAATTTATATATTAAACCAATTCTTTTCATACATTCATGTCCCTCCCACACAGCTAAACATCTTTCATTAGAATAAGACACAAGTTAATTGTTCACTGTGAGTTCATAAACTAACAATGTAGTCCCTCAATATGGACTCATGACTGTGAGAAAAAAACCTGACTGAGCTCTGAAATATCCAATCTCTGCTCAGTCCTCACCTTAAGAGTGTTCACAGCCTGTTCCAGCTCCTGCAGCTTCTTCTGTTTCTCCTGGATCCTCTGCTGGACTTCTCTCTGCATCTCCTCCAGCTCCCTCTGTCAACAAACACACTGTATGACTGGGAATCATCACCTACACACATTTGGATTACTGTGAGGTAAAGAAGTGAAATTCACTGCATTATAAGGCTGAAGATGGTGTTGGCTGGTAAAACATTCACAGACTGCTCTGACTTTATTACTGTTGCTGAGGAAGAAAGAGTTTATTCAACACTTCCTCATCCACAACACTTTACACACATTCTTTACACACAAACCCCATTAAATTCAAGAACTGAGACAGTTTAAATCCTTCAGCTGATGCAGTTTAGCTTCATTTAGATCTAGAAGGTCTGTAGTTCTCACCTGTTTCTGGGTTCTCTCTGCTGCAGCTGAGACTGTATCGTGGCCTTTGTGGTCATCCATTGTACACAAATAGCAGATGCTGCTTCGGTCAGTGCGACAGTAGATCTCCATCAGTTTGTCGTGTTGAGAGCAGATCTTCTCTTGTAGTCGTGTGGATGCTTTGACCAGCTTGTGCCTTTTTAAAGGAGGAATTTCATAGTGAGGTTTAAGATGATCTTCACAAAAGGAGGCCAGACACGTCAGACAGGATTGTGCAGCTTTGCGTTTCCTCCCAGTGCAGGAATCACACTCCACATCTCCAGATCCAGCAGGAGGAGCAGCTTGGACTTCTGTCTTCTTCAGTTTCTCCAACATTTCAGCTATAAAGTAGTTTCTGCGTAGAACAGGCCTCGGAGTGAAGGACTCTCTGCACTGGGGGCAGCTGTAGACCCCCCTCTGATCCTCCTGATCCCAGCAGCCATTAATGCACACCATACAGAAACTGTGTCCACAGGGAACGGTCACGGGATCCTTCAGCAGATCCAGACAGACTGGACAGCTGAACTGGTCCTGATCTACTGAAATACTGGCCTCTGCCATCATCCTGACCGTCTACACTGAGAGAGAGAGAGAGAGAGTGAGAGAGAGAGAGAGAGAGAGAGAGAGAGAAAGAGAGAGAGAGGGAGAGAGCAGCACTCTGAGATCAGTTTCGTTTTCTCTGAACTGCGTGTGAGTCACTTCCTGGTTTTTGTGTTTGTTGGTTTCAAGTGTCACAGAGAGGAGGAAAAAGAGAGGAGGAGGAGAAAGACTGAAGCAGGACACGACTGAACTACAACCTCCAAATAACAGATGTCACATAACATTATGTAGCAGTTTGAGTGGAGAAGACAGGCTCTTTAGTCAGAGAGAGAAAGAGAGATACAGAGTAAAAGAGAGAGTAAGTTACAGAGTGAGAGGTCAGTAGAGGACGAGGCAAATGAAGCAGAAGGTTCAGCTTTGTATTCATGAACGGAGCTCATGGATCACTGGATGCTCTCAGGCTCTGGAGGAGGAAATACTGACTGAACTTGAACTACAGGACCCTTCGTTCAGGACCCTCCACAGGCTGGTTCTCCTGTTGGAGCTCTTAAAGTGATAGTTCTGCCACAAATCACTGCTGCTGTGTTCAGCTATGTTAATGTGCTTTAGTCCATGTTTATAGATACAGTGAATCGTACAGTGTCAGAAACCACATCATCAAGTCTATTAGAGACACAGAACATCTCCACACTCTGTGACCAGTGATGATCTACACATGCAGTTAGCACCATGCTAATCGGTGTACATAAGTCTCAATTGCTTGTTAGCTACATAGAAATGCACAGTTGAGTTAAATACGAATTATAACTCTATTATATTCAATGTAACTGAGTCTGTGTTGGGCTTTAGGTAATGAACAGCTCACTGAACCATCATTATTAACTCAAGTCCACTCGTCCTCTTCTTCCTCTACTCCTCTGATTTGAGCTGGAGTTTCTCAGAGGAGATACAGGAGCTTACAGAGCTTACAGGATGTTTACAGTTCATCATTTAATGATCATTTTACTGCTTCTACTGTCAGACAGCTTCACTATACAGTATCAGTGCAATACAATATCAGTTTGTTTCTGAGCAGCTGACTGTGTCTCTCAGGCTGAGGTTGTTGTAGATGCTGGAGTTCACTGAAGTCCAGATGTTGCTGCTGTTTCCTCTGATGTGTGTGAGTTTGAGAGATGTTTCTGAGAGTCGAGGTCACTGAGAGAGGAACACTGATCCCTCAGCTAATATTAATGATCATCATGTACAAACAGTACATTCTCTCTCCGTCTCTCTCACAGACAGTCTGGGAGCTTCAAGGCTTTTCTGAGCAGCTTATCTATAAATAATCAGACTCAGAGCTGCAGCCTCATCCTGAACCCTCTTCACAGATACCCAGCGGTCATTAGTTCCTCCTGCTGGACCAGGAGAAGAGAAGATGAGGTGAAGAGACAGAAGAGTTGGATGTGACCCAAAGTGACTGATGGAGCTCAGCTCTGCTTTCTGTTCAGGATGGACATTAGATTCACTCCAGGGGGCGCTATGTGCTCTGTTTGTGAAGAGAGCAGTGGGGTTTGAATGGTCCAACTACAACTGTGTTGGAGTAATCTGACCACAACTCAGCATTTCCAGCTCATCTCAGAACCTCCCTGCTCAACCCCAACTCAACACCTCTAACCCCAACTCACCACCTCCAACCCCAACTCAGCACCTTCAACCCCAATTCAACACCTCCAACCACAACTCAGCACCTCCAACCCCAACTCAGCACCTCCAACCCCAACTAAACACCTCCAACCCCAACTCAACACCTCTAACCCCACCTCAACACCTCCAACCCCGACTCAACACCTCCAACCCCAACTCAGCACCTTCAACCCCAACTCAGCACCTCCAACCCCAACTAAACACCTCCAACCCCAACTCAACACCTCTAACCCCAACTCAGCACCTCTAACCCCAACTCAGCACCTCTAACCCCAACTCGGCACCTCTAACCCCAACTCAACACCTCCAACCACAACTTAACACCTCTAACCCCACCTCAACACCTCCAACCCCAACTCAGCACCTCTAACCCCAACTCAGCACCTCTAACCCCAACTCAACACCTCCAACCCCAACTCAACACCTCCAACCACAACTTAACACCTCTAACCCCAATTCAAAACCTCCAACTCCAACTCAACACTTTCAACTCACATTTACACCCCATCAGTCCTAAACTCAAAACATTCAACCCCCGTCCAATACCTCAAACACCAACTCAACACCTAAACTCAAGACCTTAACCCTGACTGAACCCCTCCACCCTCTTCTCCCCCAGTCCTGCACTGCTATCTGGTCTACAGGAGCTCAGAGATGGAGAGAGACTCTTCACTGACCTCACAGGAATGTGTTTAGTCTCAGATTAGAGGAAATGAAGGAGAAAAACAGAGAGAAATGAATGAACACAGTGTTCAGGTAAAGCTTGACTGGCGTTGTCACCTGTTCATTCATTGGTTTAGTGTATGTTTCACTGCTCAGTGCTTTTCCTCTGATTACTTCAGAGCTCAGAAGACCTCCAGAATTTGGAGTGCAATAAATTATTATCACTTCATTAAACTCTGGAGTGTGCAGAGACATGCAGGTGTGAGGAAAGAGTTTCTCTCTCTGAGAACAGTTTTATTATGATGGAAGGATCCTCACTAACTGAATTTCGTCCTGTCTGAGTATTTTAAACATCTAAATAAATTAATAAAATATATGAGAGAGAGAGACAGAGAGAGAGAGAGAGAGAGAGAGAGAGAATCTCTGTCTGACTCAAATGAATTTCTGTGCATTTTATTTGATTAATTTGTACAGTGCTAATTGGTGATGTATAAATTTCCACTGCCTTTTATTTTTATTAAGTAAATTTCCATTAACCTTGAAGTTCCAGAGCAAAACTAAAGAAGCAAAATTCAAACACCAAACATGTAAGATCAGATTGGTGGGTTGTATGATTGGACTGATTGGCTGTATTATCAGACTGGTGGGTTGTATTATTAGATTGGTGAGCTGTATTATGAGACTGGTAGGCTGTATGATCAGGCAGGTGGGCTGTATGGTCAGACTAATGGGCTGTATGATCAGACTGGTGGGCTGTATGGTCAGACTTGTGGGCTGTATGATCAGACTGGTGGGGGACTGCTGTTGTGTTAGCTCTGTCTGAGGCTGAGATCCAGCAGTAGTGAATGAGGAATGTCACAGTGTTCCTCCATGTGCTCTTCAGTCTGTTCTGAAGGATCTTACAGGTGATTATATCATATTGCTGAAGCAGGTGAAGGCCTTCATCCACTTTCTGTGGATGTGTCTGATCTTCCTGTGAAGAGTCGCAGGGCACATTTCAGAAATCTGAGACTGTTTATGATGAGGAGAGGAGCTGCACAGAGGGTGAAAGGTTAAAGCTGAGATTTAGAGTGACCTCTAATGACCTCTAACTAAAATACCTCACACAGCTATAAGCACTGGCCTTTGTGATGGTTAATCTGATACAGTGAGTGATTTGAGTCTTTTTCTGGTGGATCTATCAGACATGTAGTGATGCTGTGAAGCTCTGTGAGCTCAGCTCTACCATCACTGCAGTCTAGAACATGACTGACCCAAACAGACTGGTATTTTTAAAGGACTCGAGTTACAGGGTCTCTGATCATCTACATAATGCTCTCTTTAGCCTCTGCAGCAGCTAATGCACTGTGTCTTAATGTTTACTAGCTCTTACAGCCACCCACACTTTGGGTAATGATCTAATTAGTCTTCATCATTCAACACATTGTGGGTTAAAAGTGCTTATTAAGCAGAACATGATCACACTGAGCTTAGCTTAATGCTAAACCTTAGTGCTACATTTAGAGCGCTGAGGCTGCAGTCAGCCACTGCTTCATCAGCACACTCTTCACATACATGACCGTAATGACCGTGTATCAGTGTAAACAGTGTAGTAGGTCAGTCTGAGTGCCTGGAGGACAAACGCTACATTAGCATTAGCAGCGCTAGAAGGTCTGGTCAAGCATACAAACACTGCATCTCAGTGGACCAGATGATTTTTGGTGAAGTGTTGGTCAGAAAAACTGATCGGGATTTTATGAATAATAGAAGCTAAATGCTAAATGTTAGCGCTAAATACCGACCATTGGGACTGTAGTTGCTGCCTTATCAGCAGATTCTCAGCATACATGACTACACATGAAGAACGCTGCACAAAATGAGTCATAAGCAGGGTAAACAGGGTAGAACCTCTGCCTGGGTGCCCTGAGGACAATCACAGCATTAGCATTAGCAGCATTAGCATTAGCAGCGCTAGCAAGACTGATCCTCGATCAGGATTTCATGAAGGCAGAGTTTTGTGCTCACGTAGCTTCTGCCAAAATGCTAACTGCAAGCCTTTTTTAGCCTTTTTATCCAATATTGTCTAAGCTGAGGGCAGAAAGAGCAGCAGTGTGAAGCTGAACCAGCACTGCTTTACAGTTATCACTGTAGGAGAACTGATGTACAACATTATCATTCATATATACATTTTATTTGATCTGATTCCACTGAGGCTGTAATTTGTTCATCATTACAGATTATGCTGCTGTCACTGAAGTATGACCTTGTCTGTTACTCCCAATTTACCTTTTCTTTTCCTTTCTTTAGTAATCCATATTAACCAGTTACAGGTTCTGGATGAATCCACTGACACTGAGAGAACTGGTTTCAGTGCTGAGACCTTCATTGATTTGATCTTCATATTCATTTATCATCTGTCTGATATGCAGAATGGTGCTGACTCATTAATACTGATTGATGAATAGTGGAGGAATAGTGTCAATCAGTGTTTGTGTTGGACTGTCGTCATTTATAGACCTCCACAGCACTTCAGATAGAACCTAAAGGGGCCTAGACTCCATCCCTGAGGAACACCACACAAATAAAGTGATTCAAACACAGAAACTCCTCTGTTCACAAACTGATACGTCCTCTTTTTTCAGGTGTCCTCCATGTTCAGCTCTAATTAGCCATAGTTTAGTCATTCAGAGAAGGACGACAGCACACATGTGTTTGTGGGGGAGCTGTGAGGAGGAAGCAGCAGGAAACGTCCTAAAACGTCCGGCAGTGTTAATGAAAACGTCCTTTTGACA